GCCTATTGACGTCAAGATATAAAAAAATATTCGATATTATTTTCGTTGTTAAAAAATTAGGGGGGATTTTTTAGAGATGTTTTAAAACACTAATATTTTTTTATGGATTTTTTTTTCATAAAAACAAATTGAAAATGGGATTTTTGCTGGCGGACGTTCATGTGTTACTATCATAGGACTTTTTTCTGCAATGCTGACTTTTGATCGCATGTGACTTTCCTGATCGCATTTCTTTCGTATTTTCACATTAACTTTTCTCTGATTTGACGAGAGAAAAAAATTACGACAGTAAAGAAAGTGTAAAATAAGTTATAAAGAAATTATTGGCGTTCAATGTAAAAACATTCCGTAAAAATTACGATGGAGATGTCTTAATGCAACACCAAGCAAATTAGTATAACGAGTATCATTTAACTCGCAGTCTCAGGACAGTTGGGTCCGGGTAAATTACGACTGCCGTCAACCGTGCAGGGGCTTGGGGCGGCGAGTAGCGCACCCACGTGACGCGGCCGCGCTACAACAAACAGATGTAGGTCATGCCGCCGTCGGCGCCCAAGGGCGGGCTGGCTCTTTTGACGCTGAGGCGGGGGGCGGCATACCCTTTCGGGCCGGCTGACACCGACCGGCGGACAACGAAAAAACAGGCAGCTGGAGCGGCTGCCCTGCCCCGACGCGGTCCGCCGGCCGAGGGAGGGGTTGAGGTTGTAAAGCGCCACAAACTGCCCCAGAATGCGCCCACGCGGTGACCAGCCGCCTCGCGCACAAAGCTCGCGCTGCGCGGCTGTTACCTGGCCTCCGCTCCCAAACCCGTCCGCCCTTTCTCCAACCCTCCCCCCACCCACTCCTGCCTCCCAGGCCATTCTTCGAGCGGTCTCTGTAAAAGAAACGAGCTGCGATGTGATGTTTTGTTTGGGACGTTTACATTAGGAGTTAATTACGTGTAATATACAATCTGGTAATTATATGTAGAATGTATGCGTACTGGACAGTTTACCAAGTTGGTGGGTAAACCCGCTCGAAGCCGTGGATTTTTAAGGGCGAAAAAAATCCTTCGTACGCTAGCTTCCTTCGGAGGGGAAGTTAAGCGGCTGTATCCTTGTTCGTAGATTTATTGCATGTAAAAGATCCTCAAGCTAAATGACGCCTCTGAGCTAAATTCAAATCGCCTGTTTCTCGCCAAGGAATACCTCCTTTCTCTCCCTAGTTGGTGAAAGGAGCGAGAAATTTGCGTGGTCAGACGAAGAGCGGGCCTGATGGCTCCGGTCTGCCACGTAAAATAACGGCAAAATTCAATTCAATTCAATGTATGTATGTACTTGGCGCGACAGCCCGTGAACGGGCTCAGGCTTACCGGCGTCGTCCCTCCCTCGCGATCCTGGGTTAAGGGGGTATGTGTGGTTAGCACGTAGACATCCCCACGCCGTATTTCGGTCTTTTCAATGTGAGAAGTGAATTTTCTCATCGTCGCACAGCAACATATACTGGGACATTGCAAGGAAAGCGCACACTATCGTCTTGACTCGATCGGGAATAGAAGTATTTAGAATACTTTAGTGTTTTGGGGAAGATTATTTTTGAAACCTTACAAAATAACTTTTTATGGCATTGGCTTGATCAGTGTTTGGGCAGGTTGTCATTTTTTAAAAAGTACTTCCTTTTGAAAATTTCAAATCTGTTGATTAAACTGCTTTGTGTAGATCGATGAATTCAACAAGTTATTTATTCAATACATTGCAAGATATTTTCCCTTCAGGACGTTTCCTTACCAACAGATTGACAAAAATATTTAGAAATAAAATAAACATATCTTTCAACATTTTAAAACTTCTTCAAATAGGTTTATTCCAGGTTTTATATTTTCTTCACCTTTGGCTACATAGAATAGAAAAAAAAATTAAAAAGATATTCCGCCAAACGTTGCAATAAAACTATGTAAAGAAGAATTAAATCCTCTACTTGTATTATTTTAAGAAATGTTTATTTTATTTCTAAATATTTTTGTCAAACGGTTGGTCAAGAAACATTCTGAGACCAAACTATCTTTCAACGTAGTGAATAAAATGTGACAGACACTAATGTTGTATATGTCTTATTCAGTAATTTGGGTGTCAGTATGTTTGCCATTAACCTCTCTGCAAATTGTTTATGCCGTCACCGTGACACAATACAGTAAAAATTGCTCAAGAGACAATTTTTTTTTTTCACATTAGGCAAGATTCCGCATTATGCAATGTAATACTGTAGAATTTCTGTTTGTCAGGATCGCGATTTATATTCACATTAGACTGGTTTCTGCATTATACATGTACCGCATTGAGAACTTTTTACTGTATATAAAATTCGTGAAATTCACGCTGGTTTTATAAAAATGATAGAAAATATGTGGTATTTTTCACAGTTTTCCGTGTACGTGACTTGGACATTGTGAGATGACCGTTGACTAACAGTTAAGTGAAAATATTTCTGACGGAGAACATCTGACGTCCTTTTTGTCCTTGCAGTTCGATGACGAAAGTACAATGAAGTACAATCGTTTTCTCTTAGCGTGCTTTCATTCCGAGAAGCGTCCGTTTGGGTGCCGTTGGCCGACTTTGGCTAGCGGATCGCGTCCACTTTTCGATTTCTTAACGGCCAATCATTGTTTTGTACGCGAGTGCAGGGGCGCTGTTCCTACGTTGCTGTCCCGTTGGGGAGGAGGGGGGGGTGATGGTACCGTTTGGCGTCCGAAAGCAGGGCAGTTTACGGTGGGCCTAACGGGTGCACCAAAAAGCGTCCGGGGGTGCTCTCCAAACGGCTTGTCGGCGCGACTTACACGTAACGGGGTGTTAGGGACACAATGCTACTTTTTATGTGGGACGCGTTCCAATACTGTACCGTTCCTCCCTATCTGGTCTTCTTCGGAGAGAGGCGGAGAAAGCTGCTTTAAAGAGAGGATTTTATGGCACGAGATTGCTCTGGTTCTTGCTAGCGTTGTGGAACAATGGTCACCCTGGTTTAAAATACCCGTTGGTTCGGACTGCGGAAACAGTTTTATAATGTAAGTGGCCGATTTTAGAGGATCAAATAATTGGATGTTTACCATTAGTTCAAAATGTCTTTGTAATCGTGGTCTTTGTCAGAGTGAATGTAAGCCAGATCTGCTTACCGGAGGCTTACTAAAAATGAATGCAAGTTGTCAGGATTTTTACATTACTAATCTTGAAAGAGGGTTTTACGTTAAAAAATGCCATTTTTAACAAAAGCCTTTACGCGCATTAGAGGCCTCCGCTTCTGGGAAAACCGTTTCGGGGGTCGATTGTGAAGGACGGGTTAACCCCAGGTAAGAAAAAAGATAGAACCCAGATAAGTTACCAATTCCAAGAAGAGGAAAAATACAGACAAAAATATCTGTGTAGAGATCTTCCCTGCTACATTTCGATGATTTACAGAATTTTACATTTCCTGTTGATTATTTGCATGATCATTAGAATTTTAAAAGTTGAAGAAAGTTTAAATATAAACGAAGGCAGTCCGTTATTCACCATGACGGCGTTTAATGAGAATAGTCTGTGGATTTGGATTGTGTCAATTTTTCGTTTCAATTACAAAAATATCACAACTGTTTTGTTTTTTTAATTAACAATACGTTTTGATTTTATATACCTTATATATTCGTACATTTGAAAGGGGGAGGCGAAGTACAGCCAAAATATTCCCGACATTGTTAAATACTTTTCAGAATATTTCTTCTTCAAAAGTATACTTAAATAAAACTAATATAATTTTCTGTTCTTATTAAATACACTAAAATATTGTCCAATAAAAAGAAAAAAATCAAGGAGATTTCTTTTAAAAATAAATAAATATTTTATTGAGAAGCAGTTAATTATTGAGAAGCAATTAATTGTTGAGGTGCATTTAATTATTGAAGTGTAATAAATTATGTAAAAAAAATATTTTTGTGTCTGTTTTAAAGGTATGAAAACTGCTACTATTAGCCGAGAGAGCTGTGTTACTAAGTGGATGTGTGGTGTGTTGCAGGAGCCCGCGGGGTCGCCCGGCGGGGGCGCGCACGGCCGCATGCCCAGCCCAGGAGGCCCCGCGGCGACGGCGTTCGCCGCCGCCGCCGCCGCCTCGCCCCCGCAGCCCCACGCCCACCTCGCCCACATGCTCGCCATGGACGCGACGTCCTCCTCGCCCGCGCCCACCGCCACCGCCGCCACCGCCACCACCGCCACCGCCGCCACCTCCTGGCCCGCCCTGCGCGTTGTGAGTATCCACTACCCCAGCGTAGGCGCCTTCCTGCTCGCCGCGCTGGCCCTTCTCGCCGTCTCCTTCGTCTACTTCGGGCTTTGCGCTGCGCCGCTCTTGCTGCGCGTCTCGACGGCTCCTTCTCCTCGTCCTACTTTTTTTTCTACTGCCCGGGCTAATTCAACGACTCCTACTTCTCTGCCTTCTACTACTTCTTCTAATTCCACAAGTCTTCCTCCTCCCCCTTTTTCTCCTCCTCCTCCTTCTCCTCCTCCCACTTTTTCTCCTCCTTCTCCTCCTCCCACTTTTTCTCCTCCTCTTCCTCCCACTTTTTCTCCTCCTCTTCCTCCCACTTTTTCTTCTTCTCCTTTCCTCTTCCTCCACTGTTTCTGCTTCTCTGCTCTTCCCACCTACTTCTTTCTTCTCTTCTCATGCTCTCTCTCATCCTCTTCCCCACCTTTCTTTCTTCTCATCCTCTTCCTCCCAACCTTTTTCTTCTTCTCATCTCTTCCTCCCCACGTTTGCCTTCTCCTTCCTCTTCCTCCCACTTTTTCTTTCTCCTCCTCCCGCTTTTTCTTCTTCTCCTCCTCCTCCTCCTCCTCCCGCTTTTTCTTCTCTTCCTCCTCCCGCTTTTTCTTCTCTTCCTCCTCCCGCTTTTTCTCCTCCTCCTCCTCGTCCTCCCACATCTTCTTTCACTCTACGATGAGCACGCAATATGCACTTCACTATTTGAATCTACTTCACGTTTAGCACAATATTGAAATTAGAACATGATACTTATTTCGGTTAGGTTTAGTAGTAATATTTACAGATTATTTTTGGATATTTTGAACGTAAGTGGGGGTGCTACATGTTCGTCCAGAATGCGATATAAATAGCTGAAGATCATTGTTTGGCTTTCGTTATAAATTCACCACAGAATGTACAAAAATATACCACAGAAATAAACATGAATTAGAATTCTACATTTTCAAGATTCCCATGAATCATTACATTTCTGCTATTTCGGAATCTTGTTCAACACATTCATGTCACGAAAATAAAAATGTTCGTCAACAACAACTGTTTACGTGCCCGGATGGTGTTCTGACGTGGGTGTCACTATTTTTGGCACGATTTCACATGAAGCTTGCGAAAGCGCATTCTTGTCGAGTTACTCTTCTATATTCTTAATAACTTAGTATTACTCTGTTGTAAATGTTCATAAGCCGTAAATTACAGGCAAACGTTGTGCATTTTTCATTTGCGAGAATGTTGATGCAAGGCAATTTCTCCGAAATGTGCGGAGTTTCGAAGGAAAAGGGGTGTTCTTACTAACTTTCAAACCTCATATTACTTCTTCATCGATTTGATAAGAATTTCTTCTGTTATCAGTTTAGAATTATTACAGGCTTCTATTACTTTGGCACAATAGGGTATGAAAACTGTCGAAAGTTACAATAACTTCACGGTAATTTCTTGCTGGTGTAGATTTGTGCAAGGTTAATGTAGGTTAGCTGCACATCGTAGAAATATCTAAATACCCTCTTACATCAGGTTATATATGCAAAATATTCCAAACATGAGGACGAAGCAATGCCATGTATAGTTGAATCATGGTGCAGAATCACATGCCATGAATGATGTATTTTCATCACGTCAAAACTTTCAAGAGCAAGTCAGAGAGAACATCATGTTGCTTTTGAAACAAACTGACATTTGATTATATGCTGTTTTTAAAAAACCGAATATTTTGTGAAAGAAATAAAAAATATGGATTATAAATAAATTATATTGTTAAAATAATATAGGTAGTATATTTTTAAATTAATGGGACTAAATATAATGCTATTATAAATATAAAATAATATTATAATTAAAATGTATAACTGTTATGCCGTAGGATAAAATTAAATGCGTAGATAAATATTTAGCGTAATAAGATAAAGTAGTTAGGCAATTCTGACACGCAGAAATCCCGGGGAGGAACGAGGCAAGAATGCGTCAATAAATAAATAACTCATAATAGGTAATTAAAGGTGACAATATGTCAGTAATGCTTAATATCAATGTCAAAATGGTGGAATATTAAGTTAAGTAAATCAGTGAGCAAAAAGTCTTGTTTAGCGAGTTCCGCAATTGAATTATTCCGCTGAACGCCGTGTGCGGTGCGCCATTCCCCCAGCCTCCTCCCCCCTCAAAAAAAAAAAGAAAGGCCCTGACGAGCGGCATTTGTCTCGTCCCGGCAGAAGCAGGAGCCGCCGCCGTGCGAGGCGCTGAGCGACGGCTGCCACGACGAGTGCTCGCGCAGCCCCGTCAACGACTCGGGCATCTCCCCGGGGCGCAGCAGCGCCAGCGGCGGCGCGGCCAGCGCGCACGGCGGCCACGGCGACACCGACAGCAGCAGCAGCGGCGCCGGCAGCGCGGGCCCGTCGCCCGAGCGCGACGACACCACCCGCGCCGCCGTCGCCACCTCCACCCCGTCGTGGACGGTGCCGTCGCCCCCCGCCCACCCCGCCGCGCCCGGCGGCGGGACCGTCCCCGTCTCCTCCTCCGCCGCCGCGCTGGACGTGAGCGTGCAGCTGCAGCTGCAGGCCGCCGACCACAGCGACCCGCTACGCCGCCTGCAGCTGGCCCTCCAACGCTCCGAGGCCGCGATGGGCGTCGCCGCCACCGACGCGCGCTTCAGGCAAGTCAAGTGAGTATTGTTACACGAGCGCCGCAAAACGGCGAATTTTCGAAAAATTCTTATAACAAGGCCCTGGTTACGAAAGAGTGGATAAATCATGTCCCTTCATATAGTAAATTACTTTCTCAAACGTGGTAAACAGTTAGAATTCATGTTTTGTAGATCCTTGTTACCGAAAATAGGATTCATGGCGAAAATTTCGTCCGTCTGTGGCGAAAGCGCCTAAACCGTTCAGCCGATTTTCTCCAAAATGCATATTCTGCGATGGATTTCAATGAACTCGTGGCCCTCAAATATTTTCATTTATGGGTGTACTTTACACACAGCTTCAAAACAGTTTCAAAATTTCTCATATACGCCTCCGATTTTTTTAAAGCAAAAATGTGAACTAATTGTGAAAAATCATTTTTTTAAGATCGTTACAAGTAGAAACATGCAATTGACACACTTACTAATTTTACCACACACGAACAGCGCTGTGTTCGCAGTTTCGCAGGGAAAGTACTTTCCGCATGTCTATGGACTATAATCTTCAATATAAGACCAATTCTAAGTACAACTGACAAGGCGTTTGTTATCACTAAATGCACAAAAACGTGTTTCTTATTAATCTATAGTAATCACGATGCCTTTAAACACTCACTGTAGTTATTTTAATATACTGTTCTGTTATAGCTACAGTAAGGAAAACTTTCCCTTAACGACCGCCGTCCATTATCATTAGTATTATTATTATTATTATTATTACCATTATTATTAGTATTACCATCATCATCATAATTTGGCCGAAATGGAGTCAATAACGTAGGGTTAAAGTTAGTAAACCGAGACAAACCGAGGTTTATAACGAAGTCCGTTATTTGTAATGTTGGTCGTGTATTGTTCAGTAATTTCAGTAACACCATCTTCACGAAAAAATATATAAAAGAAGTAAATAATAATAATAAGAAACGTCGTTTTCGGAATAGTAGTCCCGAAAGCCGTCTCAAGTTGCAGCTCAATTTGTTTCATTAGCTGACGGCGGTCATTAAATTCCATATGAGACGTCAGCCGTTGCCGTATTGCAAACTCGCCTCAAAGTCGCCACACATGAATGAGCTGACTTTTGTTTCCTCCCTGTTCCCCGAAACGCTGCATTCAGCACGCAGGAGACGTGTCCATCCTCTACGAACTCGCACTGATTATTTGCGTGCTTCAATTATATTTTTAGCAGGGGCGGGGGAGGCCGAGGGAAGGTACTTTTAGATGGTTTACGAGCGCGCGGATCGCGGAAGCGCCGACCGCCTCACAAGAGTTTTTACTGCCCCTTTGAGGCGCGGGCTGGCCGCACGCAGGCAACCCAACGCGCTATTTGTGCCAGCGCTGCGAATTGGGCCCAGAATATGCTCTCTTGAACGACTGTCTTTATGGTATTCAAGTTATATACTGGGGTAGCCTTGCATTATTTGCAGACAAATCAGTATTACGATATATAACAATTCAAACAATTGAAGTCTTTAACCGTACGTTGAATAGGAAAATTAATTCTCGAAACAACGCGTCAATGATCTCAGATCTCTAGGTTGTACAATGAAATAATAAGATTTGACTTCGAATAAAACAACAACATAATATCTATACATTGGTATTGTGAATACTCCTACAATAAATTGTATGAAAAGGGGAAATTCAAAATAAAACAAAACAAACACTAAAAGGATTTTTTAACTTTATTGTTTTATAAGACACTAAATAAAATACAGGCATGAGGCACAATATCGAGAAAACATCAGCACAATAATTATTTATAGACCAATTAATGATCAATGTTAACACATTATAAAATCGTACATTGATAAAGGAGAAAAACTTCAAAATCCACTTTTGTTCCCAGAATGCTTCCAATCACCTTTCTTACTAGTTTGTTAGAAAATGTAAAAGTAGTTTAGAAATTGATCACGCTTAGTTAAAATAGGAGTTTTTCTAGGCGTCATTGACGTACACTTGCTGACCGTGAGAATGTGATATGGAAGAAAACATTCAGTGGAGTGAATTAAATATTCCTGTCCAAATTTGCTGGCTTTTGATTTGTCCTAATTTTTTTGCAATCATTTTTTTAAACTAAAAGCTTTGCTGCGACTATAGGAAATATTTTGGCATGACTTTTTAAAATTAACCGGCATTGGTTTCTCCCTTACATTACTACATTATTTTGTACGTACATGTACGATAGTTATGACATTTACGTTTTATTAGAATTCAGAATTTGAAAGAGTCGTATCTTCCAAATTTTATCATACCCATTTCTTACGCTTAAAAATATCCTAGCAGTAATTCTCGTGTTTCTCAGCTTGTTGAGTCATTTGTAATTGACGATAAGCAGCAAAATGTGCTGTGACACTTTTGTTTTCTCTCTTGGAGAGCTACGCTGATTAATGAAGTGAATCAACATTCTAGAACACGAGGATCGACGGTCCGAACGCTCCCACAGGCATTTGGTTTCCCGCAACAATTTGAAGCGATCAGCGCATTCTGGAATGCGAGAAGCACCTTCAACGATAGCGAAATGATGCGTAATGCAATGCGACGGTAGTCAGGGATTCCGACTCCATGTAGAAAAGTACATAGTATGTACAACAAAAACGCATTTGTGGAGTTTGATTTTTTAAAATCTCTAATTAATTGGAGGAATTTTAGATTAGAACATAGCGCTAAAATAAAGGGGTTGTCACTCTAACTATGATGACTCCAAGGATAATGTGGTTACTTTAAGGTAATAGTGCGTAATGAAACGTGGAAATTTCAAATTAGTAAATGGTGGTTCTGTGAAAATTTCTTACGTACGTTTTGATATATTTTTATGTTAACTGCTTTCTTTCCTGATAATTTACTTCTATAGAATTCTAAACTTGTCAGTTATTTTGTAGCTTGTACTACATATAGTTTCTTTCAACATTTTGAAATAAAATGTAACGCCTTTTGTCAGAGTTATGATATTGAGTGGCGAACCACCCTTGTTAAGTGCGAGAGAACGCATGTAAATTTCCTGTCAAAGTCAGAGTGAAGATAGTGCATGCGGAACCGTTTATTACCGCTGTATTTCTCCTTGCGGGCAACGCTCGCAAGTCGCGTGTCGGCCGCCTCGTCTCTCCTAACGACCACTTCCGTCTGTTTGCAGGCCCGACCCGAGCGGTTGGGACCAGTCCCCGGCGCACCCTCCGCTGTACTCGCCGCCGCATCCGCACCAGTACAGCAACGGGCCCCCGGGCACCCCGCCGCACCTGCAGGGGTTCAGCAACGGGCTAGCCGGCGCCTCGCCGCCCCACGCCCCGCAGCACGGCCAGCCGCAACAACAACAGCAGCAGCATCAGCAGCAGAGGCTGTACCAGGGCGCGCCTCAGCCGAACGGCGGCGGCCCGCGCTCGCCGGGCGACGAGCCCATGGACGTGACGGACGCCGACGCCGACGGCGACGGCGACGCGTGCGGCGGCGCCGACGAAGAGCCGGGCTTGCGCGAGCCGCGCGTCAACGCGCAGGGCAAGGTGAAGACGTACCGCTGCAAGCAGTGCAACTACGTGGCCATCACCAAGCTCGACTTCTGGGACCACTCGCGCAGCCACATCAAGATCGAGAAGATGCTGACGTGCCCGCGCTGCCCGTTCGTCACCGAGTACAAGCACCACCTCGAGTACCACCTGCGCAACCACTCGGGCTCCAAGCCCTTCAAGTGCGACAAGTGCCCCTACACGTGCGTCAACAAGTCCATGCTCAACTCGCACATGAAGTCGCACTCGAGCGTGTACCAGTACCGGTGCGCCGACTGCACCTACGCCACCAAGTACATGCACTCGCTCAAGCTGCACCTGCGCAAGTACACGCACAAGCCGGCCATGGTGCTGAACCCCGACGGCAGCCCCAACCCGCTGCCCATCATCGACGTGTACGGCACGCGGCGGGGCCCCAAGAGCAAGCCCCACCCGCTGGGCGCCAAGGGCGACCTCAAGCAGGAGAGCAACAACAACGCCTGCGACGTGCCAACCACAGTGGCGCCGCAGAGCGCAGTCTGATCCCGCCGCCACCCTACCTCCTCAGCGGCCGCCCCACCGGCCGCCGCGCCGCACCTCGCCTACGCTACAGCCGTTCTTCGCCAGCTTCCGCGGCTTCGCCCTTCGCCGGCGCCGCCGACGAGAAGAGCGCGTTGCAGGAGCTGACATGCGCGCCAACGGCGCTGCGGAGGCGCAGGCGCGCCGCCCCGGCCCGCAGCCGCAGCCCCAGCCCCAGCTGGCCCAGCCTGTGGCGACCGGTGCCCAGCCGCAGCCCGCCCCCGCCCCGCCGCGGCACGCCAGCAGCGAGCCTGTGACTTGAGCCTGGCGCCTGAGCCCGCCGTCGCCGCCGCTCGGTCATCACCACCGCCGTCGCCGCCCCCGCCGCCACCACCATCACCACCACGGCCTCCGCGCCGCCGCGCCGCCCACAAGAACCGCCGCAAGGGCAGGCGTACAAACTGGAGCGCGTGCCTCGCCAGCTGCAGCTGAGCTCGGAGGACGACTGGAGGAACGAAGCTGGCCCCGCCGCGGCCTCGCCCTCCCCGAGCAGGCGGCCGCCGCCTCCGCGCCGCCGCCGCCCGCGCCCCGCCCCCGCCGCCGCCGCGCCCGCCGAGACCTACCACTGCACCTTCTGCGACATGACCTTCGGCGACGTCGTCATGTACACCATGCACATGGGCTACCACGGCTTCGCCGACCCCTACACGTGCAACATGTGCGGGCAGGCGACAGCCGACCGCTTCGCCTTCTTCCTGCACATCGCGCGCTCGGCGCATTACTAGCACGTCCACGCCCTCGCCGCCGCCCCTGTGCTTCTAGTCAGTGTCGCTGCCAAAGAACGCCGCCCCGACGCACACACCTCCCGCCGGGGGCCGGCCCGCGCACCCACCCCCAGCCCCGCCTCGCGGAATAAATCTAGTTTGGTTTTCGTATTAAATGGGAATATTTATATTTTGAGTAAGACTTATATTATCTTAAGGAACTATATCTATGATGCTTATTGTTACTTTCGACTTAATTATGTGAAGCTTACATTGACCGTGTTACTGACCAAATAAGGCATAACTTTTTTTTTTTTTGACAAATGTCGCCAGATGAGTTTCTATTCATGTTATTCTTGACCTCTTTGCTTACTCTTTTGTTTTCATTGACAGGTGACATGCATGTAATTAAAGTTTTGAGACATAATCATAATTGAACATAGTATTAGATGATTGACAAAAACTGTCCATTTCTTAATATTTCTAGTAGTTTTTTGCTCAGACATTTTAGCCATAAACAACATCTTTAAATGTTTGGCACAGATTGATGTTCAGGTTCACACAAATTACTTCAGTATATGGCATTGAGTTCCATATCTTGAGTTGTTCTTACCTAGAAAGTATTATGAAAAGGAAGTTTACAATTAATGATTTTTATGCATTTAAGACATTTCGCTTTTGTTTTCACTGACACTTCCTTGACTAATAATAAGAGCTAGTTCAAATGTTCTATTTAAATGTGTGTATGAGTGTGTGTTTGTCTTCTTGTTAGTTTGTAAGTTTAAAATATGTGAATCACAGCTGCACAAAGAAAGTTGGAACAATTGCAGATCTTGTCAGAGATACTAAAGTTTTATTGATATCTTATGCAACTTATTTAACAAGATGTCTGTTGCAACAAGTTCTGCAAGAGTGCCAAAACTAGTATTATAATGATTCACAAATTATGTAAACTAAATAGTGGTAAGCTGAAGAAGGTATGTTCTGCTACCTCCTTGACTTTCTTCATCAGAGATTTCTCACTGCAGCCTTCTGCACTGCCTTATTGATGTACGGGTGTCTTCTGCAGAGATTGCAAGGAGATGAAAATATATATTATTTTTGTTGCAATATAACACAGAATGTGTTTATTCATATAGTTCCTAAAATAATTCCCACATATATGATAATATATTTGTTCTTGATATTTTTGTATCAATGTGCAAGTAGCACTGTATGTCCAGTAGAATTATAAATACATTTGTACTTATTATACAACTAGCATTTTTCATTTGTCTTCTTATAATACTATTGTACTCCATTAATTCCTTCCAGATCCTACCTACTACATCATTTGTAATTTAAAATGACTTAGGATTCACAAAATGATAAAATATAAATGACAGTTGACAACAAATTTTAATTTAAAAAAGCATCTGCGAGTCATTGGTAAAGGAACTTCTGTCATTAATGATCAGGACCTCATTCTAGAAACCTCTTTACGCAAAAATATATTATTTTTATTCCTAATATGTGATTACATTTATAATTTCTTCAAACCAATCATCTTCATGTGATTACATTTATAATCATCTGTTAAATAAAACTAAAATACTTTAATACTGTCAAATAAAACGTAATTATGTGAATTTGGCTTCACAAATATGTAATTATTTTTTCAAACAATTTTTGTTTATAAAAATTACAACAAAACTTAAATCCTTGCAATAAAATAAATACAAATAAAGTTCACAACTTAAAATCACGAAATCTGGTCTTATTTTGCAATATATCTTTCAATGTTAATGCATCTTAATTTATTTAAAATAAAATTTGCTCTGCTTGAAAGAAACCAGAGGTGGAATATGCTTGATGAGTGGGAGAATATTTTTCAGGACAGAGACAGCTGCTTTGTGTAATTATATTAGTTAAATTATGACTTTGGAGATCTATTGCAAGAGAAATTCCATTGCTGGCAGGTTCTTGTAATTTTCAGACATTCAATTACAAAAGATAATGTATTAATGAGGAATAGTTTGTATGTTCGTGTCTGTCTACAGATTAGTACACAGTTCAATCATTTCGATTCAATTGTATCATCTTCCCGTGACGTGGGCAAGTATATTCAAGGTTTGCTTTCATTTCAAACTCATCCTGTAGCTTTAATAGTGGTTGGAGAAGTATAAACAAAGTTGTCGACATTTTGGTAGCTAAACATTTCATATTTTATTTTCTCATAAAGAGAAAAATCGATTTGCTGTAAAAAATTGATCTCGGGGTTTTGACAGAAAGAGTAAGCTACACGGATTATGTGATAGCCGATTCTGAATAAGCGTTATTTTAATGCGGATGTTATCCAATCTATCTGACTCAACTTAAGCCCCTGCAAAATTGATACTATTTTTTAATTGTTCTTTTTTTGAAACCCTCTGATCAGTTTCAAAATGTTTTCGAAAACCGAAACATTATTTCTTTGAAATTATTGTCCGAAGAGAGCAAAGTGCGCTTTTGAAATTTTCTACTATTTTCATTAAAACATGAATTTTCGAAAATTTAAATTAAAATTTTATTTCACATTCTCGTAGACTGTCGTGAAGTCTAGAAAATTTAGACAATGCTGAGGAAAAGTGAATTTTTTATGACCATTCCTTCAAATTCATTATTAAAGCTAGATATTTCCTTTTTAATGCAATCTTTCCCCAATATAGATTTTTTTGTATAACTAGTTTACGCGTATTTTTCAAACAAATTATAACAATTCTCCAAAATCATGTGATCAAGAATTTGTATCCTTGATTGCGTTTTTTTTTTACTTTTGTATACATACATAATATATTGAATTTTATGGCATAACCGTCATTTTTATAACTTGAATTTTACTTATTTAAATGTATTTACTGGTGCTTCTATTTACATTATAAATATACTTCATGGTGTAATAAATTCATTTTATAAAGGCAAAGGCTATAAATGGTCACTTGGTAAGTTTCTCAAAATTTAAAAAGTTTGTGTCGAAATTATTAAAAATCGCTTAATCGAAATGTTCTTAAAAAAGCATTCATTATTCTTCAAAATTGACCATGCGAAACGGCTTTTTTCTTATATGGTTTTCTGAGAGTCGCATTTTAATTTAACTACTATGGGGCATAAAACTTCGTAAATATGAAAAATATACAAATTTTCAAACAATATTTTGAATAAAAATGCATTAAACAATATTTACAATACAAATAGTACAGGAAGTAACTTAACTGTCGTGTTAACTGAAAATGACTGAAATGTTATTTTAAATTTTCTTAAGGGTTAGCTAATTTTGAGTAATTTGTTTATTAATACTAAGTGGAAGGATAATTTTTTTTAAGTTAATGGAATTTTCGAGTTCGGAATTTTTGTTCCTACAGCAACTGTCGCGTATTATTGTACAAAAGCTGTCGTGTATCATTGAGATAATTTCAACATTATGTTGACCATGTAGGTTGCACAACAAAAAGGATAATTTTATTTACACAACGGATTTAGAGGTTACTTTAAAAACAGTGTGTTGTGTTTCAAGGAGTCCGATGAAGAGAGATTTGAACAGTTGCTGAAATATTATTACATAATTTGCAACATAATTATTATTTTACGTAACCATGTCAAATTGTACCAGAGCGTCTCTTGCACCACTAGTTTAATAGATAATTGCAATCATACTATGTTAAATTTCCTGTCACTCTACTATTTCGAAACAATGTGTTGCAATGACATATTACATATTGATAAATTACATATTGTATGTTTCATTATTATTTTCTGGACCAGTTCGTTTCGGCAGAGTATAACATATTTTTTGTTGATCACAGAAAAATTATATTCTGAAACCTACTAAATTTTGAAACGAAGACTGCGAACATTACATACATGTCGTACCTCCAAGGGTAAAATTTATGGTTGGTTTTTCTTTGCAAATGGGCATCAGCAAAAGATTATATCATTCTTCACTAAAATCTTCAGAAAGTTGAAGAAAATAACTTCAAAAATCAACGAAAACGATTCAACTACTAGTGAAAATAACTAACATCTATTTTTAGCGTTTCACGAGAACGTTTAAACGAAGAATCAAACCCCAACATAAACTTGGTACCCGCGGGAAGGGCGTTAACGAACACCTGGGAGCGTTCTTCGAAGCACAGGGGGTGGGGTGGGGATGACCCGGAGGTCCTCTATTTCGGAAGAGCGCCCGTCCCCTCCGTGGCTGGTGGGGGGTTAGGGGGGCCGGGCGCGTGCGCGGCGGCGCGCCGTCAGCCTGTCAGCGCGGCGGCCGGGGCGACGAGACGTTGACGCCGCGAAGCGACTGGGTAGCACCGGCAGCCCGACCACATAACCATCATCGTATTGCTAGCAAAATGCCCAACGTTGTACGGGCATTCTTCATTTCCAATCATTGCGCAAGAGGAAAAAGATCAATGTTATTATAAACCACGGTGTTTAAGATTATTATTTTTAATGTCATTGATTCGAATTTTAATTAAATACTACAATTTTCTCTCATTTTATTTTGCGTACATTGGTATTAGATTAACAATGTTTATCTTACTGCTACTGGCCTCTAGCGAATCTATTAGGATCCAGTTCGGCTGCAATATAACAAAACAATGCGTATCAGTGTTTGCTTACAAAAAAATAGAATTTGAACCTTAGTCTTTGATACTACCTTGATTTCATTTCTGTCCCTAATATCCCACATTATACACATCATCTTATACTAACACAACTATCTTTACTTTCTCGCCTTACGAATTACCTTAAGTAATCGTGCGGCGGAAAACTACGTATTTTTTAATTATAATTTTAATGATAAATATAATAACTGTAGTATAAGTGATTTTATTAGTAATTATATAGTTTTATATAACTTATCATGTAGCATTTCACACAGCACTACGGTGGCAGAATTTTGCTCACGTGATAATTGTTTCTGAGAAAACATTACACCGAAAACATACATGTTTGCGGCCAATAGATTCCTTTGGCAGCGGCTTAGTTAAAAACAGCCCAAATATTATATCCGGTTATTCATTCAGTTTCTGTAGCAATGTGGATGTTTATACGTAACTGCATAAACAAATAACTTAATCAAGCAGCAGGTCTATCCAGTATTGCCCCTTGTCATTAAAAAAACGTTCATTTCAACTAGGCTAAAACAGTTGTGAATTGAAGACACTTTTTCTCGATTTTTTAATTAATATTTCATAACACTATTACATAACACTTTTAGGAAAACGACATATGAGCAACAGATATTTTCTAATATCCCGTCAATGTAACAACATATTATGAAATCAGTGAGTGATCATCATGATCAGATCAAGATCAAAGACTAGTAAGGGAGAGCGGAGCTGGCTGGCTCACAGCTGCTGAATGAGCCCTAGCCTTGTGTCACGTAACCTTCACGATCTAACAAACTTCCCACAGTATGATCATTATTATCATTTTATCTTTCTCATTATCATAATTTTTAATTTTCGCGCCAAATAGCGAATAGAACTAAGTAAAATACGGGATATTTTGACGTCCCTAGAATTTTTTTTTTCGAAACAGTGAGATGATCGTGTATATTACGGGATGTATGTAAATCTTAAAACGTAATTCGATTTGCAGGTGACGATGTTTGCCTGAAACAGGCATTTAAAAGCCGTATTAGGCGTAAAAGACCCACTTTGCGTCGCAGTTCAATGCATTGCCAGTTTTAGCCAAGAGTGTTAGGATTATTATCGACGCACGTGTTACAAACGACAATTTGGGAGCCATTGATAATTTACATCAGGGATGGCCAACCTTTGGCGCATGTGCCAAACGTGACGAATTGGTGGGTGACAAGTGGGGCATTACACTTTTGCAGTTACTTATTTTAAAGAAGGCGCCATTAGCCGGTAGCGTGTTACGTCCCGGGAAGAGGCGAAAGAC